ACGAGATCGAGCGTCTCATACGGGCAGGGCACTTGAAAGAATTCGTCATCCGCGATCGACCGCGGGGTAAAGAAAGGAGAAGGTGTAGGGAGGATTAAATGGCAAGGAGTGACAGGGATGATGATAGGGAAGACGACGCTAGAAAAGAGAGAAGGAGGCGACAGAACGATGATCGAGAGGAGTTGAGGGGGGAGGTGCCCGCGAAGAGAGGCACAATTTATATGATCTCAGGGGGGCCCACGGATGGAGATTCAAACAATGCACGAAAGGGGCATGTGCGAGCTGTGGAACGCAAAAGGGAGGAGGTCGGGATAACTGGTCGAATGCCAGTGATCAGCTTTCGAGCAGAAGATGCGGAGGGGATCTTGCTACCCCACAATGACGCACTGGTCATCACGACAGAGGTGGCAGGTTTCGACGTAAAAAGGGTGTTCATCGACACTGGGAGTTCGGTCGATGTGATGTTCTATGATATCTTTGCGCATATCAACAAACATTTGAATCTGGAGCTGAAGCCGGTAGCGACAGCCTTATATGGTTTTAATGGAGGGGAGGTGATGCCAATGGGCGAAGTGAGCCTGACTGTAGCATTGGGGTCGGGTGATACGAGGAAAGTGAGGATGGTCCGGTTCGTAGTGGTTGGTGCAGAATCGTCTTGTAATATCATTTTGGGACGGACAGGTTTCAATGCGTTCCAAGCGGTGGTGTCTACATACCACATGACGATCAAGTATCCGGTGGGGGAAAATGTGGGCGAGATTGCTGGGGACCAGCTCACGTCGAGGAGTTGCTACCAGACTACAGTCAGCAATAACAAACAGATGGCAGAAAAACAATTGAAAGGCAAGGAAGAAAGGCCCGATCGACCAGGAGGGTCGAGAACGAAGGAGGAAAAGGGATGGCAGGATAAGGGAAAAGAGAAGATAGACATACAATCCGGGGGCGAGGTCAAAGAAGTTCAGATGGTGCAGGGATGTGACGATCGCAAGTTCAGGATTGGGAAAGATTTGGGAGAGCCGATCAGGTCAAAGCTGGTCAGTCTAATAAGGGAGTTTACAGACATCTTCGCGTATACAGCGGATGAGGTAATGGGGATCGAAGCAAGGGTGATCGAGCACAAACTCAATATTCATCTCAGCGTAAGGCCAGTAAAATAGAAAAGGAGGCATCATGGCGTGGAAATGGACAAAATTATCAAGCAGGAGGTCGAAAAGTTGTTGAACGTCGGGCATATTAAGAGAATCCAGTTTCCAGAGTGGTTGTCCAACACAGTGATGGTGTCCAAATCGGGAGGGAAATGGAGGATGTGTATCGACTTTCGTGACCTGAATAAAGCATGCCCGAAGGATCTGTACCCACTACCACGGATTGCTCAGTCTAATGGATGCCTCACAAGGGTACCATCAAATTCCCCTGGCGAAGGAGGATTGGAAGAGGGTGAGCTTCATAACGAGCAAAGGCATCTACTGCTATGTAGTTATGCCATTTGGGTTAAAGAATGCCGGGGCGACTTATCAAAGGCTGGTCGACCAGATTTTCAAAGACCAATTAGGGAAGAATATGGAGGTATATGTCGACGACATGCTAGTGAAGATCAAGGTGGAGGCGGATCATGTGGGTGACCTGAGGGAAACTTTCCAAACACTGAGGAGATATGGCATGAAGCTTAATCCAGCCAAGTGCTCGTTTGGTGTCAAAGCAGGAAAATTCTTAGGCTATATGGTGACGAAACGGGGAATAAAGGTGAACCCTGAGAAAGTGAGAGCGGTAATGGAAATGAAGCCACCTACCAGTGTGAAGGAGGTTCAAATACTAACTGGTCGAATAGCGGGGTTGAGCAGATTCATCTCTAAGGTGGCTGAGAAGAGTGGCCCTCTGTTCAAGACGTTGAAGAAGAGCTCG